ATATAATAATTTTAATAATTCACAAGTTTAAAAATTACATAAATGCGCTACGTGAAGCTATAATTCACTAGTATTTACTATTTTGAAATTTGGAAAATCGCAACTTTTCAATAGAAATATAAACAAAGTGATCGTGTTTTCATAAAAATATCTAACACTTTTTCTACACATTTGATACATTTTACAAAACAAACCAGCCAACAAGCTTCTTTTACAATTTAAGCAGCCATGTTATTAATAACACAAAGCTTTTTAATGCCAAAAAAATAGACTAGCTTTGACCAAACAAGAAAGTAGCTCTTCTTACGTACACTAAAAACATATTGATTTGTAAATGACTCAATAAATACTAAATTTCATTTTTCCTTTCATAGTCTAACCCAGTAAAAAATATCTCCATTCAAAACAATTTTTTTGTTATGAAAATCGTTCCGTAATCTAAACAAAGTCCACTTTATAGCTGACCTGAAAACCTAATTTGATTCTTTTCCTTTTTTCTTCAAAAGTGAAACAAAAAAAAATCTATTCCGCCAATAAAGTTAATAAAAACTATAAATTAAAATACTATTGGATAAATATATTACATACTTCTTATTTACACCAAGTATTATAAGTTAAAATTAAGCACTTTTTTCTCTTGCGTTAAGCTGGAAATGAGGAAATTAAATCTTTGACCTATTTATGTTTTAAAGCAATATGATAAATGAAATATATTAAATATAACTAATTTTACAGCACACACTAACTGCTGATAAGCGATAAAATAATTGGACTGTAAATAAATATTAGCGCACACTAAGTGCTGATCAGTGATAAAATAGTAATTGGACTGTAAATAAATATTAGTGCGCACTATGTGCTGATAAGTGATAAAATAATTGGACTGTAAATAGATATTAGCGCACACTAAGTGTTGATAAGTAATAAAATAATTGGGCTGTAAATAAATATTCAATCTAAAATATAAATGTCATTTGAGTTTTATTATGCAAGTTCAACATACTATGGTAATTTATACAAAATAGTTTTAGCATATGAATGGCTAATGGTGTTAAATATTATTTTTATTTTTTAATAAAAATTCGAAACTTTAATATAATCTTCTGAAAATTACAAAGTCTGAAATTTCGAAAAGCAATGTCTAATGAATTTTAGAAAAATTTGAATTCTCCTTAAACCTAAAAGAATTATAAGAATTTTTCTTGAAATTGTGTATTCAAATAATTCATAAACTTAAACAATACTCCTTTTGGATCATTACTTTTCAGCATTTATTTTCTTATAAAACTTTTTCCATTCATCTTGTTTGACCTTCCCTATAACTACCTAATTAATAGTTAAAGAAATTAAGTGAGAAACACTAAAGTGCTACATAAAATATTTTTAAAAAATTACTAACTTTTTTTTTATATTCTCATTAAAATTAATTTTTTTTACGTGTTTCAAGTTTTATAAACAAATTACATTTGGCAAAATGTTAATAAAGAATTTAACTAATATATGTATATATATATATGTATGTATATCACCTTATTTGTTACTTAGAAAAATAATGCAATTAAGTATCTATCACGAGGTAACAAATGATGTATAGCTTGTCTACGATAAGAATTCCCACCGCCACGAAGTCTGAGGCCGTCTGTCGCTATGGAAACACCCGACCCGAGCCAAAACATGTCCTAAACAGTGACCCCACAGCCCTACTTGAAATAGCTATACCTCGATATACCATCGTCTCTACCACGGGTCCCGACGATTCTTACTTTAGACAAACTATACCCAAAGAGTGACCGAATTCAAGCTCGAATTGCGGAGCAATCCAAAAGAAACTGCCAAAGCAATTTCGGGAGTTGACGAGTTTAGCGAGAAGGACTTATATGCAACACTAAAGCGTATAATGTTAAATAACTGATAAAATTACTTTTTCGTGTTGGCAACAATGGACTGAAATATCAAGCGAGTGAGCAGCATAAGCATGAAAAACAATAATAAAAGAACTTCTCTTAAAAAAGAACTCAACATGTACAAAAGAAAACAAAACTCACATTTAATTTAAATGTAAATTATTTCCCTTTAGACACACCTTTTCCATTACCATAACCATTTTCCATTACCACAAATGAATCTTCAAGCCATGTTTTTTCTAAGGTGATGTCCTTTAATTCGTTATTTAATTCAATTTAATTCCTCGTTGTATCTCCAAACTGATTTAAAATTTACAATTGGGTATGCAAATTGTTTGAACAGCCAGCCATTTTTTATGCTTCCCTATGTTGACTGAAGTTAAGTAGTCAATTGAATTTATAATAGTCATAATTTAAATATAAATTTAAATCAAAATTAAAATCTAATAAACTTAAATCAAAACTTTGTTTGAATTATTTTTTTCTTCATTCTCTTTTTTGGGGGGCTCTCAGACATTATACGATTGAGATGTAGGCATTATTTCGTTTCGGAAAGCCGTAAAAAATCACCCAACCACTGGATACTTAATAAATATGTTAATAGGTACAACAGGTTATTGTGGTAATGAATACACCATATATATAAATAGATACTCTGGTAATAGGTTTTTTACAGTCAGCAGAAATGTAAAAGTACCAAAATGTATATAAATCATAGTTTTCATAGGATGCACATGTTTCATGTATTTAAAACTTAGTTTTAAAAATAGAATCAGATTAATGAGCAAGGGAAGTAAGCTTGAATTGCGCAGCAATCCAAAAAAAACTGGAATTGCAGTTTAGGGATTTAGCGGGTACAACGAAAAGGAGTTGGACCCTCAAGTTAAAAGGAAAATAAATAATATTTGACATAAAATTCGCTGAAAATTAGAACTGCATCGCATTATATAATATTTATGTAATTTATTACAGGTATGGAGCTGATGAAGATGAAGATTCTTCTTTCGTTACTACTCACAGTTCAACTGATTATAGGATTTGAGACTCTTTCTGTAGAAACGACTCTTTTTCAAAACGGAACTGCAGTATTGTTTCTTGAGCAAAACGGAACTACATCACCGTCTTCTCTTCAAAACGGCACTGAAATATTGTTTCTTGAGCAAAACGGAACCAGGCTATTGATTCCAGAGCAAAACAACACTGCAACATTGCCTTCTGGTAAAAACTATATTTCATTGATGCCTATTGAACAAAATACAAGTTTACTGTCTTCTGACCGAAAATTCGAGATGTTATCGGATAAAAATACGATTTTAAGAAATTTTCTACAGACGGGTGATTCTAATTTAAATCATGCAACACGTCAAAATACACCAATACTCGATTTAAACGGAACTTTTTTACATATAACAATTCTCAATCGTCATAATTTCACAACTTTGGATGAAGTTTCGATTATGACGGCTAACAGTTCTCGATTATTCGATGAAATCTTAAAAGATATTCGAAAGGTACTTAAAAACAATGACTCTAATGACGATCCATTCGACTCAAACTTTGCAAGTGGAAAATTTTCAGTTTTAATGAATATCAGCCATGACACTGTCACTCATAATGAATTAAACATTGACTTTTCATCGTTTTACATCCTTACCCACCATTTTAAATGCAACTTGGATAAAAACGATGAATTAACAATTTCTTGCAAAAATGTGTCTATATACTCCTTAACTCAATACTTACCTAACAATACTGTAAGGCTAGAAATTACGGACAGCCCGACAGTTACACTGACAAAGCCATTGTTTTCATATTCGACGAAGCTTACGTATCTGAGATTATCGAACAACCAGCACCGTTTCATAACAAGAGCATTTACTGGACTTCAAAGTCTGCAATATCTTGATTTGAGTGACAATAATATAATGGCCGTAAAGTATGCTTTCAGTTATCTTTCGAATCTTAAATATTTAAATCTAAGCAAAAACTCGTTCATAACTATCGAAGTTGTGGCAAATGCTTTGGAAGGACTGAAGCACTTGGAAATTCTGGTGCTTGACCACAACTGGAGAATTTTTAGAATTCGGAAAAATGAGCTCAAACCTCTAAGCAACAGCAACATTACTAAATTACATCTGTTTAACACTACCATGAGCATTGCTGAGAGAGGTGCTTTCGAACACTTAACGAAGCTTGAGGTATTAGATTTATCAGTGAATTACCTTAATGAAGAGGCTTTAACTAATGTTACAAGCAGTCTAAAGAATGCCCCCATTAGGTATTTATTTCTACAAGAATGGGTTCATTTGAATGTTTTTCCTTCTGAATCTCTGAAGTTTTTAGAAAATACATCTATTCAGCATATTTATCTTTCACGTAATTATTTTATTAAAATTCATAAGTTGCCGTATATACCATCGCTTCAATCTTTATGGATTGATCAATGCTCTGTAAGGATCACTGATAATGATCTCATCAGCCAGCTTCCAAATTTGACTGTGCTGGTCCTTTCTGGAAATAATTTTCTGAGGTTTAACGTACCTTCTTCAAGAAGTTTGAAAATTCTTCAATTGTCCCGTCAATTAACGCGATATGAAATGAAAGAGTTTGAAATATCAGGTGTATTTGCTTTTAAGAATACTCCAGAGTTAGAATTTATTGATTTCACCTCAAACTTGTTTCCTGAAACTCTCTATAGATATGACTTTTTCGGTTTGCATAAACTGAAAAGATTGATATTAAGCGACGTAGATTTGGTTGCTATTGAAGATTATGCGTTTGAGACTCTCGGCTCTTTGGAAATCCTTGACCTGTCACACAACCGTCTTAGATATTTAAGCAATGCAACTTTATTTGGTCTGCATAAATTGACAGATCTCTATCTTTCAAATAATCACTTAATATTACCAGATGAACTCAACCCTTTTCAGCAAACACCATTACTGACTATTATTTTGTTAAACAATAACCGAATTGAGAAACTACCAAAAGGAATCTTCAACTTTACTGACCATCTTGAACTTCTGATTTTGTCGCAGAACAAAATTCACCCTTGGGATGAGCCAATTTTTGGTGAAAACTTAACGGTCAACACCCTGGGTCTGTCTCAGAACTACATTGACTATGTTACACCGACTATGCTGTCAGAATTTCAAAAAAATACGAGCTACCTCGACATCTCAAGAAATCCTTTCAACTGCAGTAACTGTGGTTTGCGCCAATTTCAGGCATTTCTAAAATCAACGCCTATACAGATGGGATTACCGTATTCGATTAATAAGGGTATAGATTTAGTTAAGTGCTCATTGCCAAATAAACTGGTAGACCAATCTCTCGTAGTCGTTTCATTCGCTGATTGCTCAGAATTCGAAAAACTATTGAGCCTATCCTTTATTGTTCTAATTTCCGTGGGGAGCATATTCTTTATTATGGTGGCATGCTTTTGCTATAGCTTCCGGTGGTATATTAGATACTGGGTGTTTCACGTGCAATCCAAATTCAAAGAGAGAAGAACAAGCAACAGAAAATCTGAGAGGGTGTACAAGTATGACGCGTTCATTTCGTACAATTCGAACGATACATCGTGGATTGCATCGTCCCTGATCCCCGCTTTAGAGAGACAAGATCCAAAACTGAAGCTGTGCATACACGATAGAGATTTCGAGGTAGGGAGGTTTATAACGGAGAACATTCTAGAAGCCATTGAGAATAGTAGGAAAGTAATTTTGATCTTAACTGAAGAGTTCGTCAAGAGTGAGTGGTGCATGTTCGAATTGCACATGGCTCAGCACAGGCTTTTCGACGAGACGAGAGACTGTCTCATCTTAATTAAGCTGAAGAAAGTGGATAAGAAGTTTTACACCAAGCATTTAAAGTACCTGGAAAAAACGAGAACTTGCATATTGTGGCCCGATACTTTAACGGATCAACATGTGTTTTGGGAGAAAATTAGAAAACTTTTAGGGAATACTCAACCACAGAATGAATACGAGTTAGCCGGTTTTGAAATATAAGACTGCAGTTGGTGTCTGATAACCTTTAATGTAGTCGTGGGAAGTGTTCTTCCCACCAGTTTGTTAGTTTTTAAACGCCAATGGGAAGTTATTTTCCCACCTATGAATTGCGCTGCAATATGTTGATAACTTCAGAAAAAAACATTAGCAAAGAAGAGTTTTGTTTACATAAATGTGGATGTAACAGTAAAGGGTATTTGGGGTCAAGATGAGAAGTAGACAGTGGAAAGCTATTTTCTCTTGTGTGTTTGTTCATTTGATCAAGTTTATTTGAAGTAATAAACACAGAATTTATAAATTGGTTTAAATTTTAAGCATAGAAGTTCAAGATTATGATAAATTATTTACAGAAGGTCCAATTTTGAAGAATCCCACCGATTTCCCCACTTACCATCAAAAAATCGAATTTAATTTAGGTAAAAAATCTAAATAAGATTCTATTTACTTTAATTTTATCTTTCAGAAAAGAAGTTTAATGAAGGGTTATTTAGGCACATTAGTGGTCGAAAAAGGCAGTAACATGGGACGAAAAAATTGATAATAAACGCAAAATCTTATAATTCTGAATTGCTATCATCTGCTGCTTTAGTGAACCAAACATTTTTACTTTTATCTATATAACTGTCGTTGAACAACTGAACCAAATTTTTTGGATTTACGACTACTAAAGTTCAACTAGGTAGCCTTGTAATTTTGAACCCAATCCAGAATTCAAAGGAACTCCTGGATCAAGTATTGGGAGAAGTTTGTCTTCGTTTTGATGGAACTAACCCGCATTCGCGTTACATGGAGAAGAAAACCACGAAAACATCCCTTTTTTAAGAGCATTTTCTTAAGAGCGTTTTACTTTATGTAATAGTTATGCAATTAAAAAAAATAATATCTAGAAGAAGAAACAAATGCGTGTATCTCTCAAAAATAATCACTCTTTATCCTGACGTGACGACACAACGCGAATGATGAAAAAAGAAGCAGTTTAGATCATGGAAATATGAAAGGGAAGTTTATGGGGTCAAAAATAAGAGAAACTACGGTAACCTCGGGGACAGTGGTAGCCGAAAAATACATATCTATGCTCACTAACCAATAATTTCGTTCCTTATTTTTGTTGGATACTGTGCTTTTTCTTCCTTCCAACCTGTTTCTGTTCTCATCACCTAAGCAGTGTTAGCCGGAAGAGAAGCATCGTATTCGAGCGCTTAAAACATGTTTACATTTCTTCCACTTCAACTAAGGAGCACTAGCATTTTCATTTTTTTATTAAGTTATGCTATTGCTTTGTGTGATGATGATAAAATTTGAAATTAATTACTAAAATGCATTGAAACCTACTCTTAAAAACATTAAATCTTTGTAGCATTTTTAGCATTATTAAATATTTAAAATATTTTAATTGTTTTATATATATATATATTCAGATGCATTTCTTTGTTTTTTCAAGGTATTTTTAACACCAAAATCAATTTTGCGTTATTTAATTGTTAACAATACACGTTCATGAATATTAATGAGAGAAAACGCGACTTTGAAAGTAAACAAGAAGAAAAAAACAAAATAGAATAGGTGAAGAAGGTAATAATTTTTAACATTAAGAAATAAACAACGATAAATTACTAATGTAATATCAGTTATTTCCAGGAAAGGAAAACAATTTTTAGATATCTGTATTTCAATATTTTGTATCCACGACTACAACCACACACCCCTATTTCGTGAATTCCTATTGGCTTATTTCACGTTGCCAGTAAACACACCCTTCGAAAAAAGGGACCTTCACTCAATTAAATAAAATTCAACATAGGTTCCGAATAATAGTTAAGTTCAAGTTTATGTTATTAGCTTCAGGCGTGGTGGTTAAATTTAAATACATTAAATTAATTCAAATTTGTAAACGGAGGAATCGATACATTTGGATTGTAAATCGATAGAAATGACCATGAATGATAGCTTAAGAATTAATCGTTTTGGAAAAATACAACTTGCAAGGGATGTTCTGGCCTGTTGCTTTTCAATTTTAATGGCTTTTTTCCCATCCAGTGAATGATATTAAATTTCAACTAAAAACTGGCCTCCTATAAGATCAAGGGGAAATTGTTTTTAATTGTGGAGAAAGCAAAGGAGTTTATAAAATCTTTAAAGTAATTCGTTTATATATATATATAGTAGGAAAGTAANCCGAATTTCAAACATTACATTAAGGACTTGGAGTATTTGATAATATTTAATAATGCAATTTAAAAAATATTTAAATTTTAAGAAATATATATATATATATTATATACACACAGACAAAAAGGATTAAAAAAAGAGAAAAAACGAAGAAAATTAAAAAATGATATTTATTTCGCATAAGCTGCAAGAATATAGAACTAATAATTAAGCGATGCAGAGAAGCCATGGAAAAATAAAGGTTAATGAAAAGAAAAGAAGTAAAATTATTAAAATATTTTTTAAAAAATCTTAAAAAAATATCTAGAAAAATAACAACAATAATAATAGTAGGGGAGAGGGGGGCACATGTGAACATGGTATGTTTTACCAATATGATTTGAAATGAAAAATCTTGAAAAATTTTCAATTGATGGCAGTACTAGTCCTAACTCTCTGCAAAACTTTCAGAAGAATGAGACATTTTGTGGCTCTATTCTGACAATTTCTTTGTATCAGCTGGTGCTGTATATATTATAATCACTCGCTTCTTCAAGTGAAAGCATAGTATAAATCAAATAATAAACTGAAATTAACTATTGCAGACCATTATATGAACATTCAGGTAAGTTTATGACAATTATTTTTTTTTTTTTACACAATTAAAAATTCTTTATTTTTCAAGTTAGGTTTAAGAATGATTATGGGGCACTTGTGAACAAAACATCTGGGGCAGATGTGAGCAGTTCACATGTGCCCCTACATAGTATTACGATTATTATCCTCATGATATTATAAGTTTAAAAAATATGTATGCATTTAAAATTATTATTATTTAACTTTCCATAATTAATTTATTGATTTTTTCTTTAGTTTTTTTTATTTATTATTAAATGGTTGATCGCGCATCACGCATATTAACACCTGAGAAAGATAGAGTTGCTAAAGCTACAAATGAAAAGATAGAAAATATGAAAAAAAATCATGACATAGTATTAGAGAAGAAAGAAAAAGGCCCATTACAACTCCTGAGGAACATGAAGTTGCGAAAAACCCAACAGCGGAAAAATTATTGTACAGCTGAAAAATTATTTTCTTATTGACAGTACTGTTGTACAATTTAAATTCACATAGTAAGCTACAACTCCTTTAGTATAATGCGTATCTATATCTGTTATATTAAAGAATTTTTTCTTTGAAATATGATAACTGCTTTGTGTTTTTAATCTTGTTCATATGTGCCCCAGGCATGTTCACATGTGCCCCCAATTGGGGCACATGCGCAGAATTGAAGTCCTTTTTCTAAAATATCATAAAGTAAAGAAATATTTTATTGAAAAATCTCAAAAAATTCCATAAGACAAAGAAAAGACTATTTAAACATATGGACTTCTTTACTGTGAGAAATTGATGATATTTTTCAAAAAATGAAGAAATAAGAGAATTTGTTCACATGTGCCCCCCTCTCCCCTATATATTTATCAAAAACCCGGAAAACAAAATAATGAAATGATATAATCACTTCATGAGCCCACACGATTATATCTGCCAAAAAGGAATGCTTTCTAATATTGTATCAATATAGCCAAAGCAAAATATATCAATACAATAATGGGAGGAGCACTAAAAAAATAAAATGAAAATCGAACACAGTAAGTCGAAAATGTATTAACAGAAAATAAAATGTAAAGAAAATATAGAACAAAACACAAAACGAAATCTAAAAAGCGAGTTGCGAATTCAAATGAATTTACACGCACCGGAATCTTTCGAGAATGATTTAAAATATTTTCGTAATAAGATTGCCAGATTACAAAATATAGAAACAGAAACGCATATTAAATTAGAAACGTAAATAGAGGGATTATTTAAGACACGTTCTTACTGCAGTGTTAAAGCGCGTTTGATTTGTTAGTTACCAAGGTCTCCCCGAAAATGGATGTGTGCAAGGTAATAATATTATACTGGATAATTTAAAGTTTATAATTAATCAGGTTTAGTATTTAATTATACAATTTGAATGGTTTTAGAAAATTTATATTTATTTTTTGAAAAAAGAGAGAGAGAAACATGATTTGCCAGTTTTGCACTTGCACAGACTTTTAACCATGAGCTTGCATATGATAAAAATATAAATTAACAAAGAAGCTTTTAGTAATTTTATTAATATTAACAAACAATTAACTCAATTTTATATAGAACTTAATTACTTTAAGTTATTTATCCATTATTTTTTTTAATCAAATTTTGAAAGAGTTTGTCTATTTGTTTTTGGATGAATGAACATTCCTATATATTCTTTTAATTCTATAAAAATAAAATGTTTTAAAAATATTTAAGAATTGTATTTAAAAAAATGAATTATTTTTAAAAAATTACGAAGATATTTTAATTCATTTTTAAAAGATACCTGTATGTGTAAGTTCATTTGAATTCGCTACTAGCTTCTTAGTTTCCGTTTCGATTCTTAAATTGTCTTATAAATTGTATCTTGTAATTGTATCTTGTCTTATAAATTGTAAATTGTCTTGTAAATAATATCTGCTATTTTTTAACTGAAGTTCTAGTATTCTTATGTACCCCGTCTTACCCCATGAAATTCTAGTATTCATATGTACCCCGTCTTACCTTATAAAATTCTAATATTCATAAGTACCCCGTACCACTAGTTGTGTAGGACATGGAAATGTAACTTTTTTTAAGAAAAAAATTCATTTATAAAAAAATATTATCGAATATTTTATTAATGAATGATATTATATATCGAATGCAACTAAACAGTGAATATCTTAATTAAATCTGAAAGTTTCTAGATCAAACAGTTTTGCAGCAACAGGTCTTCGAATCGTATTGACCCTTTCTTACCCCACATTACCCTAATCTATGAGTCTTTAAAAAAATCTGTGATTCTGTTAAATATATTCCCTATAATCGAATATAAAATGAAGATAAAAAGGCTTATAATGATGCTGATAAAATAATATGTTTATTCAAAAAATGTCCTCGTGTTTGTATTTCAAGGGTAAATTCAAAACTATAATAAAATAAATACCACTCTGTACATAAAATTACTTAAGAACAAATAATAAGCAAACTTGTTTTCGTTTTATTACTATTTTTCAGAGAAAATGTGCTCCATTATTAGGATTTTATCTCGAAAATATTTTTCAAGTTATGAAAATGTTTTAAAACCTGTTGCAGTTATGTTTATTTGAAGTGTAGACATAGTTCACTAATATTCCTTGCAATCGAATTTGAAGTGTAAAGAAAGTAAATAAACTTTTACTTATAAACCTGTTGAAAAAATTGTTTATTTATCGCCTGCCCTTATTTACGTATTTCAAACATTAACTCAAAAAAGCAATAAAATAAATACCAGTTTGTACACAAAATTACATAAGAACAAATAACACGAAAACCTTTTTTTTTTCTTTCAGAGAACACGTGTTCCATTATCGAATTGTATCGAATTAACTGGCTGAATGTTTGTTACCCATTATATATTTTTAGGGTCGATGATTTAAAAAGGTCATATTTCTATAAAATTATCTATTTCGAAATAAATTATCGTAAATAGTATAGGCCACATTGGAAACTTGTTTTTGTATCTTTTCGTTTCGTTGGCATCAACAAACGGGGAAAGATATAATAAATACCTTGTTTATGAAAAGAAGTAGAGTAGTAATTCTCGTGATGGGTAAAGTTAATTAACTAGTTACTAAAAAAAAAATTAATCGAACGAATTTAAATTACTGGTGTATTTTGTTCCGATGTTAGATTTCAGTGGGGTAATTTACGAACAAGTTTTTAAGATAATTATGCTCTAAAATAATGCTGATATATTTTAGAAGAAAATCGTTTGCGTTCCATTTTAGTACTCAAAAGTGAGAACTTGAAAGCCTCGAACTACTTACTTTTGTAAAATGGTTATGTGACAAATGTAATTGGCATTATTTGTTTGAAAGTTATAGATTTTATGGATTAAATAGCTATAGCATTTTAGAAATTGGCTATGGAACGTCTAAACAATGATAAAATATTTCCATGAACTTTGAAATAGGTAATTGAATAGATGGAATAACATTAATTTGCTCTTGATCGAATCGTGCAAAAAATAAATACATTCATAATTGAAATTATAAGAATTTATTATTCAAGGAAAAAAATATGCATTATCATTAACTGATCAAAGCATTGGGATTTTATGCGACAACGTTATCTACAGTTTTACAATTTATTTTAAAGTGTGAAGAGTTTTAATGGAACTTCGTCGAAGTTTAGTTTCTAAATTCCTCAAATTTCCTCGAAATATTTGCTTTAAAAGGCAATCGCATCATGTGAACATTATTTTTCGGTAACATTATTTTTCGTTTTTCTAATTTTAAAGTTTAGAGTTTTTTTCTAAAAACAAATAAGAAAGAAAAGTGCAACATGGAAACCTATTGATGAATCTAAAGAATATCAATTACTAAGAAATTCAATTGCAGAACAGCTGTTTTGTATGAACTTTAAACATTGAAATGAAATTAAATTGATGAATGTAGAAACTTTTGTCATAAAATCTAATATTTTCCAATTATTCAAATTATAATTTCGAAATGGAACTGAATTGGATGAACTCTGAAACTTAAACAAAACCTAACCCGATTGAAATAAGAATTATTCTGAAATGAAAATTAATTTTTAGACATAATATCTATAAAATATTTCATAATTGTTTTTTAAACAGCAAATAAGCTAAGTTTTTATCCAATAAAGAGAAGGAATTATATTTCTAAGTGAAATGAAAAATAAATACAAAAAACTTACGTTTTGGAGATCAAAGGTTAGACTGCTTTTGAGAATACTGTTAATTGTAGGATTTTTAATTCAGAGTGAAAAATTTCTTGAAATGTACTTAGAGTATCCTTCATTTGTTGAATTGAATGTAGAGCAACCCCAAGATGTTATGTTTCCCGCCTTCACCATCTGCAATCTAAACGAGTAAGAAATTCTGTTACTTTTTTCATTATTTAATGCATGAAATTCTTTAACAATTTCATTTGTATTTGTTTCTGCTAAAGTTTTCAGTATTTTTATCTAAGTAAAATATTCATTTGATCCAATTCATTATTAAACCATATTTTTAGTAGTTATGAAATTGTTATAGTAGTTACAGTTAAATTAGTTTAAATTCAGTTGTTCTAAAATTGTTCTAGTCATTCTAAAATTTAGTAGTTCTAAAATGTTCGAAAATTGAAAATCATCTTTATCTACAATCTGAACAAGTGAAAAATTGATTAGATCCAATTCATTTTTAAAAGATTTTTGGATTGCTTTTATCTGAAACTCTGAATAAATTAGAAATTCAATTCTTTACTAAATGATATTTTTTGTAGATATAGGTTGTTGCTTAACTTTTGATTGTTGATATTTATAACCTGAATAAGAAAAAAATTTAGTTAATAATAAATGATTTTTAGGTTGTTACTATCTTACACCGAATGAGTATGATAGTCAAATATTTTTTATAATTTATTATGGAGAGTTTAGTAGTTTTACGTATGATTCTGTGCGTACGTTTTCAAGAAACTGCGCATGTTCATTAACTATTTTATTTCTTTTTTAACATTAACACTTACTTCAAAATTTAACAAACGGGGGCGAATTGGATAATGTGTAAAACTGCTAAATGATATTGAACGATATTTTTATAAGTAATTTCAAGTTGTTGTTGGTTTTTTTTTTAAAATTTTGACTATAGCTATTTATTACCTGAATAAATAGAAATTAATTAATCTAATAAATTACTAAAATTAATTTTATGATCTGAATTACTCCTCGCCATACCTTGAGAACTTAGGCAAATTGAAAAATGTTTGCACTCAATTGTAAAATTCGTTTTTTCCAGAAATAATTTCATGGGAAAAACAATCTTTAGTAAATATGTCTTATTTCTAATTATTTTATTAAATAATAGTCGAACACATTTTGTATAGTAAGATCTAAAATTTCTTACATCATTTTACAATGTGTAATTTTGCATGTAAAAATAACATAATTTGAGCGAAATCGGTTGAATTGTTCCTGAGATATCAAATTTTTAAAAAAGTCGTATCGCTCTCCTGATCAAACTATATGGGCCCTATTTCCCAGATTGCGGCCACTATTTTGGGGGTTAGAAATCCGAATCCGTTGAAAAAAGGGTATGTTTATTCAGAAAAGGTGAGTTTTTGTGCCTGATTTTGTAACATAAAATATCGCCTGACATAGTTAATTAGGATATCTGAGGACACTCCCTCGAATTATTAAGATTGAGTCCTAAAATGTGAAATCCGATTATTAGAACAAAAATTAATCAGCGTGGTCCGGTTTTTTTTTTAGCGTACTGTTCTTTAATCATGCATTAAACGCTTCCTTTTATTGATTTTAGCGTTTACTTCCACTTACACTTTCACTTACTTACACTTTTTAGCGTTACAAATGTTGTTTTTTAATTCCGTTATCAGTACCGCTCCGTATCAGTACAGTTACCGTTTCCGTATACTTCACAAAATAAGAGAGAAAAAGAGAACGCTGTATTATTTTTGCTGATCCTTATCTTTTTTTACATCTTTTAACATTTACATAGCCAATTTGTAGCGGGGTCAATGGGGAACCGCGAAGTGGTGAGTTCTTGAGGTTGGACCTAAATACTTTACTTCTCTAAACGTCAAAACTCTTTATTTTAATTTCCTTCTGTTGGAAAACCCAACAATTTTGCCGCAGGACAGGAAAGCTGCCAACAGGAGGGGTATAAAATAAGATGCATTAAATGTCACTTTTACAAAATAAATTCTGATGCATTGAATTGGTGATTGAAATGTGGTAAAGTTATTCTAATTAATTTCAGAATTCGTATTGGTCCTTACTGTGAAAAATTTCCCCACAAATGTTCAAATATACGAAGGCATCCCAAGCTTTGTACTTTATACCCTGAATATTGTCGTTTAGTTGGAAATAAGTCAAAATTGGTAAGTACGATTTTAAATTTTTTAATTTTGAAATAAATATTTTATTTTACGAATGCTTATGCTGACGTTAAAAGGGAATTGCATTGTTTCAATTATCATATGTTATCTTTGCTTGTCAGTTCCATGTTTCGTATGTTTCTTTTAATCCTATATCTAAAGCCTGTTATTTTATCACCTTCATTGAACTGCCGATTCAATTTTTTTCGGGTTTGCGACTGCTTATGCTTAACTCTGTAGCCTTGTAAGTTTGAACCCAATCCAGAAGACAAGGGAACTCCTGGTTCAAGCATTGAGAGAAATTTGTATGCCAATGCTTTCCTTCTGATTTTAACTCAATGCATTTAAATACTGTTATTTCATTGGTTGCAAATATTTTAATTTCAAAGGTTTACAAACAGGAAATTTTTTTAACTTGAATTACCCTAAATACCATTTTGATGAATATTGATGCGATCGCTTTTGACTGAATACTTTTTCACGCTATATTGATTTTGTCAGCAACTTACTTAGACATGATATTATAGTGCACAATCTAAGAACTATTACTATTTTATCCACTCTAAAAGTGATGCAAACATTTTGTATTTTCAATAATGTTTATCCACCTATGTTTATGCTTTAAAATAGTTACGCATTTGTGCCTATGGATGGCTGACTGAATGCAAACAATAACAAACTTCCTAAAACCGAAAGTAATTTAGAAAACTTCCAGTGTATCCCTCCGCTTATGTTATGCTTACGAAGCGATGTGTGAACAGGCTTAATATTCTAGGAAGTTTTATTAGTGTGATTTGTGCTTAAATTAGTGCGTAATTTTACCTTTCATAAGAATTTTTTGTAATTAATAAATTCTTACAGGTCGTGAGCCCAAAATAAATTTAGCGAAATTAATATCACAGCATAAATAAAGTGTAAGGCTATCCATGTTATGAGTGTTGTCTTCTACTTGGTTCTACTATATTGTCTTCTAGTCTACTAGTGTTGTCTTCTACTACTATATTTGTGTAAAATAGCACTGTTCGTTATTTTTTGAATCGCACCATAGCAAACTTGCGAAGTCTTCCGAATTCATTTGTTGTTTGCTTCATTAAAAGTTACATTGAAAGAACGAGTTACATTAAAAACATTAAAATGTATATTAATTTTGGTTGGTGTGTTTTTTCAAGTTTAGGCGGAAAAATGAGTCGGAATTAGTAATCCGGATGTGTTATGAAAAATCTTAACCCCTAGAGCCATTTCCGCTTAGCTTTACATTGTCAACCATCCATAGTCTAAATCGATGGTTTGTGTGAGACTCAGACTTGCGCCTATAGGCCCTAGCACCATTTGGCTTAGCTTTAAACGGTCAACCATCCATAGTCCAATTCGTTGAGACTCAGACTTGCGCCTATAGGCCATAAGTAACCCCTAGAGCCATTTGCACTTAGCTTTACATTGTCAACCATCCATAGTCTAAATCGATGGCTCGTGTGAGACTCAAACTTGCGTTCATAAGCCATACCAATGGTTTTCGCTGGTTATATATATATGCGCCCATAGCAATCAAAAAGTTACAAGGAAATATTAATAAATACCTAAATTACCTATTATACCCGGTTTTATATGGTGGCCATAATCGTACTTGACTGAAGGAGTTATAATATTTATATCATGTTCTGTATAGCCTAAAAAAGTAAACTTGTGAAACTTCTGAACTAAGGAATCATTTTTAAATCCTACCAGGAGAAGAATTACCATTTTTTATTTTTTAAAAGTGATGCGTTTAGTTTATTGCTTATAAACATAAATTAATATATGCTGGACAAAAAGAGCTTTAACGTGGAAAATGACTCCCTACCTACCAGAGGTGTAATATTCAAGTAGAAATGCAGAAATAAAATCGATCGCGAGCTACTTGTAGTTCGATATTGATAGTTTAACCATAACTGATCTAAAGTAGGATCATTTCATATTAATTTTCCAGCGTCCATAATTAAAATCTCCGAGCTTTGGAAAGGCAAAAACTGTTCCATCAGTAGACTCAGCCATATTGAAAATTGAAGACTTATTCCCACTTTTCACTCCTTATTAGTCTATTTATTCTATATTCCAGACCAAAGGTTTGTGGGTTCGTGGCCCATAACCAACTGTTGATGCGTTAGCGGAGTAGCACAGTAGTGAGTGAAAGTGTTAACTCACATAAAGAAACTTGAAGATTTAAACATTTCTTTATTTCATACAGTACCATCTCGATACAGCGTACAACTGAAGATATTTAAACATAAATACAGCATAACAAAAATGTTGGTACGTCACCGGAAACAACAACACAGTGACGTGACATAGTGAAAAGACAAGACAAGAACACATGCTTACAACAATGCATGCCTTATATACAGATTCCATAATTATATGCACGGATGACGTCACTTACGTTATCTTAAAAGAAAATATCTGTTGCCAACACACGACCGAATCTTAATTCTGTTAACTTAATGTATTTAGAGGAGTAACGAACCACGCCAACATTCATTCCTTAGAAAAATATGAGAACTTGCTGAAACTTTTTTAAAATAAAGTTTCAAAGAAAAATCTTTGCAACACTAGACAGTTTAAGATACATTGACAATTTTTAACTTTAATGGTGTAACCATATAAGCGTATTTCATACTAACGCTATACTAACGGTCATGTTGACGTGTTTTACTAATTATATGCTGAGTAAATTTATATTTCATTTTAGCTTCCAATGCATCCTGTTTCTGATTACAATTTGACGAGAACCGAACGACAAGAATTTGGGCACCAGTTCCAAAACTTATTAGTTGGTTGCACTATCGAAACTGATGGAAAAGAAGAAGAGTGCAAGTAAAAAAAACAACATTATTTTTGCTAAAACTCTGTCTTTTTTAATTATTGCAATTAAGACCTTTAATGTGAAATCTTATCTTTCTCCCATAAATAACGAACGATTTATGAACGAAAAACAATGTGATTGCAATGTTTGTTGCGCTCTGCTTTAGAAACCAGAAAATTTCCAGACCAAGTAACTAATTAATTTTAAAATTTGTCAACAGATGGTGCTAATTACTGAGAAAAACTATAAAACAATGCTCTCAATCTAACCATCACTTGCGGCACTAATGTGCAGTCTGATGAAAAAATTTACAGAAGCTCGTGCAAGGCCGCAATCGGAAAAGGTTTGACAATGCAGTTAAAAATATCGCTTTATAGTTCTTCTTCAGACAGAAAGGCCATCTGTTGACGAACTTTATCATTAAATTTAAAAGTTGGTGAAAGCGATAATTTTTTGGCAAAATTTACGCTAAAAATCAACAGTAATATTGAAAATAATGGTGAGTTGGTGAAATGATTCGTGTATTTCATAACTCTGCTATTTAGATAAAGAACCAATTAAAAAATGAAAAAAGTCTTAGTTTTAATTATTTGAATAAATCAGCTTTTTTCAGATAAATCAGATTAATGCTTGTTGAAATTGTTATCAAGCGATTTTATATTTTTATTTTATAACCGTCGTTGAACAGCCGACCCAATTTCATGGGTTTCACGTTCAACAGGACTTACGTTCAACTCCGTAGCCTTGTAATTTTGAACCAATCCAGAAGACAAGGAAACTCCTGGATCAGTACCCCCAGAGGTATTGATTTGTTGTGGGAACATGGAGGACTTTGAGACTCGACAGATTTAACGTGCATCAGACACCATTTACTACACGGGGAGTCTTCGGCCGGCGAGGATCGAACCCACGACCTCTTGGATATGGGCCCAGCGCCCTACCGACCAGGCTATCCCGGCCCCCATTATCAAGCGATTGTAAAAATTTATACAAGAAGCTATTGATAATATTTGTGCATCTTTAAATACCTTTACCTCAGAGCAAGAGTTTTTTTCTCAGGCCGCAAATGTCTTTCAAATTCAATGAAATAGATTTTTTTTCTTTTCTTACATCGTTAAAAAATAATACTTTCAGTGCCTATAGATACTTTTGAAAGTTTTAAAATAAACCAATAAAAAGCACAACTAATTAAATGCTTGGTTGCTATTTTATTAAAGTTTCTATTGTTATTAAAGATGTTTCATTAATATTTTTTTTATCTATGATTTCGGCTTAATGATTAGTTTGTTTTTTTTAGAAGCGAACACATTCCAATACAAGCCTTAAGTCATTCCCATATTACACCTTTTAATTGTTTTGTGATGTATTCATTGTATGGTCAACCTAATGCAACACCCCGTTACATTCCTGTGTCTACAGGTAAACACTATTAAATTTCTTAACTATTAGAAGATCCTAAGCATGAAAATCTTAAATAAATATGTATATCAACTTATTTGTTACTTGGAGAAATAATGCATTTAAGTATCTATCAAAAGGTTACAAATGTATAGTTTGTCTACGGTAAGAACTCCCCCCGCCATAAAGTCTGAAGCCGTCTGCTGCAATGGAAACAAGAGTAGCGCATTTTAAGGAGGATAGCTTCTCTTCACTATAGGGCTAATACAGTAGACCGAAGAAAAAGATTCCCTTTTTCTCGCTGACACGAGCCAAATCCTAAAAAGTGACCCCACACGCCTACTTAAAATATATCTCGTTATCATAGTCACCGCCACTGGTTCATACGAATGACTAGGGGAGTTCTTACTTTAGACAAACTATATGTTTTTATTTTAATAGGACATTAGATAACACTTGCATTAGTTTTTCACCTTACTGAATTTAAAGTGACATAATAAAATTTTGTGACTGCTTGACATTAGGAGCCTATATCAGGTGGCCGAGTGGCTATCGTGAATGACTGCGAAGCCAATGGCTGCGGGTTCGAATCCCGCTCAGGGCATGATTGTTTTTTCTGTGTGATGTGTGAATGTGGCTCACCCTATGAACGGGCTTCTGTGGTAGTATGGCATGGGTAATGATGCTCGCCTCTGGGGGCTTTGGTTCACAGGTGCCCACCGGGTAACGATAAATGAGCAACACTTTTGACATCTAAGTCGAGGAACGAAAGTTCAGTGCCTGGCGTTATAGAAAAAAAAACATTTAAATAATTTTACTTAAATTTGTCTTAAGAATTATCGTAAAATATCTTTAAATTTTATTGAATAATTTCGATTAGAACGTAATAAGAAGTTACAATCATTTTCGGGCCGTTTCAAATTGGATTTATATCAACAATCGAAATGTTGACTAATTTCTGTCTAGATATTATACAGAGCTCTCACATTATTAAGCTTTAAGTTTCATAAATGTTGAGAGCAGAAATTTATCGTTATTTTAACGCTAGACGAATTTAGACCATTTTCCTTATACTAAACAAACTAACAGCTAGAGAGAAGAAAATAATGAAATTAAATTTAAAATTTCAAAGCTACTTCTTTCAATGAAATACAAAAGGAAGAAATAATTTCATTTTTGTGGCCTACCGCTCTCGTACGAAATTTCTATCACTGCAGTTAGCTCTTCTTTCGTTTTCGGAAAGTAAAATAATCGAAAACTCTTTTCTACTTTTTAGTTCACTTGAAACACGCATTTTAATTAATTTTTTCTACTTAACGGGGATTTTTTCGCCATTTTGCATATTATCCCGCACGTAAGTAACTGCGCATACTCGTTAGCTATTTTATTACTTTTTTTGAAAATTAATAATGCACCCTTCACCGACACCTAACTTAGTTGCGCATGCGCAATTACTTCCAAGTTACGGGGAATCGCGCACTATGATACGTAAAACAGTGAAATCTCTGAAATGAGAACTTATATATCAATGTTTACATAAATATATTCTCAAGTGAGTATCAGGTTGTATAGGTGTATAACGCGGAATTTGTTTTAACATTGCAGTGATTCGTATTCTTTTGAACTTTGAGGTTGAATATTATTAGGTTGTATAGGTGTATAACGCTGAATTTGTTTTAACATTACAGTGATTCGTATTATTTTGAACATTGAGGTAGATGAATATCATCCTGAACATCTATCGAGGGGAGCACAGATTAGTATTCATTCACCTTACCATGTACCATCGCCCATGAGTGATGGTCGAATTTTGAACTTAGGTGGTATCTATCGATTCTATTTATCTATGGTAAGTTATTGCTACAAATCATGCTTATAACATTCTATAAAGAAAAATTAAACGGAGGGATTAATTAAAAATTCTCTGCTAAGAAGCGCTTTACAATTTGTTGGAAAAGCACACTTTTTAAGTTTTTTTTAAACATTATTCACAGTATTAAAAACAATTTCTTTAGATTAAAACAGTGGTTCCCAACCTATTGTGGATCCAGCAGTGGACTGATCGTAAAGATACGGTTCCCAGTAGAACACCAAAGTCAAACATCACTGACTGCAGAAGCATGCAGGGGGGCAGCCTGCGTAGGGATCAAGGATGCACGGCATCGATCCTCATTAAATTGTTCTACGATAAAGTGTTTGACTTCGCACTCGCATGTCGTCAAGCTACCAAAGACATTCCCTCTGCAGAGGATCAAAATTGTGATGGCATGTCTTCGGATCATCCTCAGGGATGTTTCCCAGACAGACGCCAATAGCCCATTGTGCAGCTCTAGTGCGACGTAAATAAATTACCTACCTACCCAACCTATTGTGACCCATTCCTCTTTTTTAATTACTACTAGATTATTAAAAAACAAAGAAGAAATGTAAAAAAATAATTTTCTCAAAATTATTTTCACCGCAACTCATCTTGATGCCCTGGAATCTTGTTTTATTCATATGAATGCTGATTTACTTGATGGCGACATTAGGTACTCTCCAAAGGGCCTGCAAATGCATTTTACCCAGATTTTCTGTTCTCGGTCCCTGTGGATTTTCTTGTTCTGTTTTTCATCTTTTTTCACCCTCGGCTACCGTTTTCTAGTCTTTTTTCTCACCTTTATTGTTCCATTTTTCGTTGACAACTTTATGTTTTTTATTTCAAATCACTTCGTTTCTTCTCATTCACGTCTGGCAAATCTAGGAAATGGGTACCTATTTTTGAAAAGCGCCGACTGTTATTTGCTATTTATTTATTTTTGAAGCGAAGGAAATTTTAAATCAGATAAGAGAATATTACTCATTATTGCTTTTTCATTATTTCTCCGTCATAAACTCGAAACATAAATATACTAAATTTATTCAGATTTCGATTATTTCTTAAAGCGTTTTAATAATTAGACAATAAAAGCACGAAAAGTTCTGATGCATCAATCCTTTCAGAGTTTATTTAAATAAATGGACTAATTATTTAAACGAAAAAATAATAACACTTCAGTTTAGAGGGGGGAAAAAGGCTAGTGTAGCAAACCAATACGTAATTCGTCAGTTTTTGTTTAATAGGGTGCCTGGGGTTTATTTTTCTTCTTGCATAACACGGGATAACGCTTTTAAAGGCAAAACCACACTTTCAACTTCAAATTTATTTCTTTAATAAGTGATCTTAAATTATAATGCAAAGGGGAAGCTGACTCGAACAGGTTAGCCGATATAAATGAAAACAATGTCTCTTTTACTGTCTCTTGTGGACTAAATTGGCTCACAAAAGACCAATGTTTTGTGTCTGATTTCTCGCCAAAATTTCTTTAATTTGGGAAAAAAAATTCAGTTCCAGAAATTCATCTCGCAAAGCATCAAACACTTTTTCACCAAACAAACTATATAGACTTCAAAATAAATTTAACTTCTCGCCAGAATCATACCCTAAATTTATTTTCTAAAGATACTGAGGAATCTGCAGTGCAAATCAACAGCATTGTCTATATATCAGATCATAAGAAATTAACAAAACTATCACTTCATTTCCCCTTGAAACTGCGAAATTTTGAGGGACTATCACCTTCTCGTTGGGAACCGCTGCGTTTGAAATTTACATTTTAATGAGGTCTATTAAGCGGTATGAAATATTAAGCTTCCATGTTTGTAGTTATTCCCTTTTAAGGTAACTTTGAGGGATATATGAAAGTTAGTGACGGTGATAGCGACATTGGCCTTGCATTAAAAAAAGACTAAAATGTTCAGTTTTTTTTTTGCACTAGTAAATTTAGAATGCTTCGCGTCCTAAATTTAGAATGCTTACTATTAAATTTAGAACAAGTAAAATGCTTGGCAGTGTAGTCTTTTTAAACTAATTAAAACTGAATATTTTTCACCAGCCACATATTGAAATAATTTTGTGGTAAGGCACCTATGGTGTCAGAATGACAAATTAATGGCCCCCATTTTAATATAGCCTAAAACTCTCAGAAATGAAGTGTTATCAACTATATTTTACTTTATTTTATAGCCGTCGTTGATCAGCCGACATAGTTTTTTTAGTTTACGGCTACGAATGTTCAACTCCGTAGCCTTGTAATTTTGAACCCAATCCAGAAGACAAGAGATTTCTTGGATCAAGTAGTGGGAGAAATTTGCCTTCGTGGCGAACTCTTTGATCGAACTAATCCGCATTTGCGTTACATGGAGAGGAAAACCACGAAAACCTCTCACGGTTATTCTGGCGGTAAGAGGACTGTAACCCATGATCCATCAACCACTGAGAATATTTTTACGCCAACGAGCCTGGTACGGAATTCGTATCGACCAGCCATCGTTGGGATTCGAACCCGGTGCACTTCAATGGAAAGCCCCCTGAGCCACCCCTGAGCCACCACGGCTCGTTATCAACCTTAGACGATTCAGCCATCCATGAGCGAGCTGTATTTCGTTCAATTAGACATTTCACGGAATCATATGATGGTTTTTGACGAAACGCCTATTCCCCAGAATTAGAAGAATTCGTGTCCTAAAACGAAGGAAAATAATGTTCTCAATTTGACAAAACATTCGTTCGCATCACTTTCAGGAAAAGGTTTTCGTAAAAAAAAAAAAAAAAAAAAAAAAAAAAAAAAAAAAAAAAAAAAAAAAAANAAAAAAAAAAAAAAAAAAAAGAAATTTCGAGAAATTTAAGTTCAGCATAAGATTAAAATTATGCGTGGAAACCAGACGAATATTATTTATTATTAAATATAGATGCATTATACATTGTCTTTATTGTTGACAGACCAGCCTTGAAATGTTGCCCCCACCTTACAAAAGTATGTGTCGAGATTACATGGGAGAATGGACGCGAAATGGAGGAAAAGGTCCCATCACCCAAAAGGTATGATATAAATAATTTACATAGAAAAAATATTTTTTTTCAAAAAAATAAATGTTTTTTAAAAATAATTTTACTACGCGATTCAAACTTAAAAAATCAATTTAAAAGATTCAAATTGAATTAGTGCGGATTGATCCAGGAACAGCAATAATTGGGCGAATCGTTGCTAATTGATAGCTCTCAGATCTAATTAAAGCAGAGGAATTTATTTCAGATTTATTAAAACAAGATTATTGAGTAATAAAACGCTTTTAAAAAATAAAATAAATAAACAGAAATATTTTTCAAAAAAAATTTTTTTTGCCAGAGAAATTTTTTAAAATTTTAAAATAAATAAATACCTAGAAAAACAAAAAATAGAATAATTTTCAGTAATCATTACTTTCATTTTTTTCAAATTATAATATTTCTTTTTTAAATTTTACGGTGCCTTGTACTTTTTCTGTTTTTCTTTTCTTTCGCTAACATTTCCACGATTTTAATTAAAATTCTAAATGCCACCGCTTCTTCGCATGTTGAGCTGCAAAATTCTATCGTATATGATTCAGAAGTTTCTATTAATATATAAAGAGTATTCCCTAATGATTGCTCACACACATGATACACACACACACACACATATATATATATATATATATATGTGTATATATATATATATATACA